GGCGCCTGGCATGCGCACCACCACAGCTAGCAGCACTGAGGCGCCAAGTCAAGTCAGCCGGATTGGCAAGTTGAAGCGTAGCTCGCTCACACCGTCTTCACCTTCTGCCTCAACCCGTAGGCACACTTTCCTCAGTCAGGCTCCGGGGACTGCGGCACAGCACTATTCTTAACACCCATCAGCTGCTTCTCTGGGTCTTGGGCTCCTCGCCAATCTGAGCCTACCGCTTAAGCAATGCAATGCAGCACTCTCATGGCCGTCAAGTCACCAGGCTAGGCTCCTACATGCATGTTGTTGAAGTTGTGGAGTTTGTCTTGCAGGAAGACACTGTATCCAATCAGACTTACACAGCAATCTGGCTCGAGCTCGTCCGCACAATTCAAGCCGACCAAAATGCTACCCTATCCTGCTTCTTGTCGTAGGGGAGTGGCAGCTGATGTGCTGTGCCAGATCATTCCAGGACCCAAACTTGCCCGTCGCCAACAGTTTCTCTCCAGGCGCTCTGGTCTGCAGATAGGTTTTGCTTTTGTTCTTCGCGATCGATAGAAAGGAAACTGTTACTACTGCATGGACATAATGTTGACTTCACATGAAGAATTCCCGCCACAATTATAAAATCCCAGCGCCGGAACACAATTACAATTCCCTCCACAATTATCAAATCCCCCAAAAGCGTAATTTTTCCGGTGCAAGATTTTAATTAGATGTTAATTAATTCTCAACAAACAGGCTTTCCAACGTTATTATTCCGGGGCTCCTCCGGGATGGAGATAGATCAATCGAGGGGGGGGGATTTATTCATGCGAAGTCAACATTACGCCTTGCGCTGCACGCAGCTGCACAAGGGTTTACGAAAGCATGTCTGCCAGTATGCAACAGTGGATCTGCCCCCACTTCCCTGGAGCTGCTGCTGCCTGCATGTGGCCGACAGTAGCGCTAGCATCAGCTGGCACAGCCTTCGAGACACGCGTGCCAGTACGTTGCGGCGCGCCAAAGGTCTCCACGCCTCTTGTGCTTCTAGCTTGCCCTTCCCTGCTCGACACTTTCATGATGATGCAGGCTGGAGTGACATGTACTCATATGCACGCCACTCGAAATTGATTGTCAGCAGCTTTCAGCTACGGCCAACGCTGTGATGACTCATCTCCACGCAAGCGGCGCCTTTTGCTTTTGCTTTGGCCTTGTTCTTGGGGTCAGCCTTGGGCTTGGCTTTGGCCTGCGACTTGGGCTTGGCTTTGGCCGCTGGGCCTCAGTAGCAATGCAAGTAGGAGGAGTAGGCATCGTGGCAAGGTTCCGGCCACGCTTCTTCACGGCTTTCTCTGGCACCTGACAGCCGATGAATGCCCATGAAATGATGTGGGCTTGCGTGAAAACCCTATGGCCACGCTTACCATCCTATTTTGAACCTCGTCGTTTTTCTACCAGAACTGTCTAATACTGCTGGAAGTATAAGCCATATCGTTTTTTTGTTCATTGGTTATCCTTTTGCAAGGGAAGAAACAAACAGGACCGCTGCCGCTCTCGTATAAATTCTGACAGCGCGGTCATTACCCCAGGACACGTGATTCTGACATCCTGACCACCTCGCACTTCACACTCTTCGCCTGGCCTCTGCCATCTGTTCTACCTGGTCACGTGGCACCTTAAGCAGGCTTGCAGAGTCTGATTCACTGGAAAGAGCTAGAAGAGCAGGGCTGAGCTGCCAGCAGCGCG